TCATCACTGAGAAGGTCCGGGAGAACCAGGCCACCCTGGACCCTAACTCCCCCCGGAACTTTATAGACTCCTTCCTGATCAAGATGCAAGAGGTACTGGCCCAGTGGGCAGGTCAAAATGGAGGGGATAGGCTGAGATCTCAGCCCGAGGGTGTTATGGATCTCTGGAGGAATCCCCAGACATTGGGAAGTGGGCTTCACAGACAATGGGCAGCAGCTCTCAGATGTGAGCAAGCAGCCCTAGCAGATATTAGGTGGAAAGTCTCAGCCTTCCCGAGGCAAGGCTCAAAGGGTACCCTGTGGCACATATCAGGAGGTAGGTTCATAAGCAATCCAGGGTCAGGCAGTAACCCAGAGCACAGATTCAGATATACTGAGCACTGGTGGTCATTGTCACTTTGGGGATAGCATGGCAAAGAGTGATAAAGACAGAATGCCAAATGGAGAAAGTGAGGTACAGAGATGGGGGACACGGAATAACAGAAAGAGACAAACAGACAGACAGAAAGATGAAGAAAGATGAAGTCAGGTGCAGAAAGAGAAACAGAAAATGGGAAACAGAAACACAGGAAGTCAAGGCCAACACAAAGAGACATAAATAGACATTCCATATCCCCCTCACTCTCTGCCCCTTCAGACATTCACAAGCTGAGTATAGGGGCTGGGGTGATCCAGAACCCTATAGTCTCCTCCCAGCAGGCTTGCCCAACTCTCTACATAAGACCTTGGGAAAGTCCCTTTCTCTTCCTCCATCCTGTGTCTCTTCATCTATAAAATGCAGGATGAAGGATATTGGATTTGTTGTCTTGGTCCTTAAAGGCAGAACCAGGAGCAATGGGAGAAGTGGTAAAGGGAAGAATTTAGGTTTGAGGTCCGGAAGAAAAATGAGAGTAAGAAATGTCTGAAAGGGCAATGGGCTATCCCGAGAACTGGCAGGTTCCCCCTCTTTGGAGGTCTTCAAGCACAGGCTGGACCACCACTTGTTAGGAAGCTCAAGGTGTTTCTTTGGCTGCTGAGGTGTCTTCCAGCTCTACCGTCTTGGGATTCTGCAAGGTAGAATACTGTAGTGGGTAGGGCTATAGATTCAGGAGTCATGCATTCCTGGGTTCAAAGTCTACCTCAGACACTTACTAGCTATGTTACTCTGAAGAGGTCCCAAGCTCTCTGGGCCTTAACTCCCTGATGAGAGTGGTTGGATTTGACAATCTCTAAGAACCTTTCCCACACTAAATCTGTATTCATCTAAATTCTGAGGAGAATAGATATGTGTTTGGGTCCCTTGGAACTGAGATATCCCAGCTTACTCAAGTGCCATTGATGGATTCACCCTCTACCCTGCACATTGCTGGGACTCAAGGAAATTGAGCTGAGAAGGGGGGAAAGGAGGCCTTGAGGGTGAAGAGTCTAGAGGTGAAGAAAGTGTGTGTATGCGGAGTGGGGGACTCTGAGCCCTATCCACCTTCTCCTCCCAGGAAAAGAACAATCCCAACACAGAATTCTTCATGAAGAACTTGATCATGACCACCCTAGCCCTGTTTTTTGCTGGCACTGAGACTGTTAGCACAACCCTTCGCTATGGCTTCCTTCTGCTAATGAAGCATCCAGAGGTGGAAGGTGAGCCCCTCCCCTAGTCCCCTTAGAAGTCTTTGGTGACCTGGGAGCTGCCCAGAACATCTTACATACATACCCACACACAAACACACACACACACACACACATACACAGATGTATGCATGCCCTTGCAGACACACATCATCATCATCATCATTACCCCTGGAACATGGATTATCCCCTTCACTCCTCATTCCAGTATTCTCTCACCTCAGGGTATACCCATGCTCCACACCCCTTCTGCCCCCTTGAGATTTCCCCAGGATCTCTCTGACACTCCTGCATCCTGTTTCCTCACTCCCACCAACCACAGCCAAAATCCATGAGGAAATCGATCAGGTGATTGGGCGGAATCGATCACCCAAGTTTGACGACAAAGCCAAGATGCCATACACAGAGGCTGTCATACATGAGATACAAAGGTTTGGAAATGTTATCCCCATGGGTCTGGCCCGGAGAGTCACAAAGGACACCAAATTCCGGGGCTACCTTATTCCCAAGGTAAGAGTCTCTCACTCTTAACTCCCCAGGCTCAAAATCCTCCATCCTTCTACTCCAGAGGGCCACTATTCTACTCATTGCACCACCTCCCTGCTTCTAAAATTCCTGAAATATTCTCCTTTCCTGAATTAGCAAAAAAGTGGGAACCTCAGTGTTGTCAAATCAAAATGTATGTGGTCATGAATTGCATTTATCCTAAAAGGGTCTTTCCTGTAATTGAAGCAGGATTAGTTACCCAGGGATGATATTACTTCTCAAGGTGTATTGATTGATTGTCAAATGAGATACATTTTAAATTTTGTTCATTGAATTTCTACATAATAAACTTAGCCTGTCTCCAAAGAGACAGTTTCAGAATGTAGTAACAAAAGCTTTCTTAATAGCACTTCTCCTAGGAGGTAATAAACCCAAAATGTCATCAGAGGAAATGAACTATGAGTTTGGAAAGAACCAAGGATGGCAAAGATATTTTTGAAGAGAAAGGGTGTTTGAATGAAAAGTCACCTGGTGGTTGAAAAATGAGGATGACAATAGCACATATTGCTCTGAAGCTCAAAGGACATATTTTATTAGTTTTTAGTATTCCCTCTGGGCTGCCCCTCCAACTTGAAATAATAGATCGGGTCTCACAGGGGCAGCTAATACCCCAGGGTTCAAGGTACTTTGTGAGTCCACACTGCTAAAACTAGAGCTCACAAGCCCCCACTGGTACACTTACCTTTAAGAGTCTGCCAGTAGACAGGTAGCTCA